AGAGGATCTAAGAACTAAAGCGTCCCTGACCCCTCAGCAACAAATCGGTGTCGAGCACTACCATGATTTCTCTCAACGGATCCCGCGAAAAGAAGTAGAGACACATGGCGAGATCGTCCAAAGGGTCGTGCAAAAGGCAGACCCTGGAATGCAGGTCATCATCGCTGGGTCTTACCGACGTGGCGCTGCTGACTGCGGAGACATCGATCTACTAATCACCAAACCAGATGCGACGATTGAGCAGATTCGAGCCTTGATGGTCGACGTGGTAGTCCCGAAACTCTTCAAACGGGGCTTCCTACAGGCCAGCTTGGCGATTACGTCGCGAGGGGATGGGTCTAAGTGGCATGGCGCATCTCTAGCCCCGGGCAGCCAGATCTGGCGACGGATCGATCTTCTTTTCGTGCCGGGCTCGGAGATTGGCGCTGCACTGCTTTACTTTACTGGGAATGACATTTTCAATCGAAGCATGAGGCTATTGGCAAGCAAGAAAGGTATGCGGTTGAATCAGCGCGGACTATATACGGACGTACTGCGAGGGCCGCAGCGGGTGAAGTTGAATACCGGTCGGCTGCTTGAGGGTCGCGACGAGCGACGCATTTTCGAGATTCTGGGAGTTCCATGGCGTCCTCCCGAACATCGTATATGCTGACGTGCCCGGGCTTTTTTTGGGTTTTGTTTGTTTTTTCGGAACCGGTAATGCTTTTTGGGAATATGCTTCATGACAGATAACATTTGATGCATAACTAATACTTCTTTTTATTGCTTTAGGTATATTCTTTGGCTGTTCCGCTTCCAGACCGACTTCTCATCTTGCATGAATTCGCTGTAGTGTCACTGCAGGATTGTTACAAAGTTTTTATGGAGTAGATATGGAAAACTAAGTATGACGCTGGCCCGAGTGGTCTGGATCATAATGATGAAGCTGATGATGTTGTTGCTGTAAGGGCTACAGCCAGAAGCGGTAAAAGTGAACAATCCGTATGTATTGTACGGGAGTAACCTTTCCGTAAGCTTTAGGAGGTATCTTTTGTGTGGCCCAGGGTAGGACAGGAACTTGGCGACTTTTGAACATGCCAGAAGGAGGCTCAATAAACGAGGGTTAAGACCTTCACCATTTGGTAGGGTGGCGAAAAAATGACTGTGTGTTGAATTGAAAGTCACGCGTGAATCCAGTTCATGATCCCGTGAGGTCACACCCCAAACGTATTCCTAAAATCCAAAAGAATAATAAAAAAAATAAAACAAGACATCATTTCCACCCCTGTCACCGATCTCATCACCGCCTTTCATGCGGTGAAGCGCATGCAATAGAACACTGAGGGCGGCATCCGTCAGACCGCCTGTGGAAAAGTGCAAAAGTCATCGTTTTGCCGTTGCTTCCAACAATTATTCCTCCTCCATCCCACTCTTCCTGTCTCTCCACCTTATCGCACTCCCCATCACAGCTGTTATTCTGCCGTTATCAATCGTCTGGTGGCTTGTGAATCGCCTGCAGTTTGGCCCATCGTCATTGTCACATCCGCGACACACGCGGGTGGTTGTTGTTTTTTGTGTGCTTTGTGGCCCACTGGTATTTTGCCGTCCCGACCAATCCACCCCTCGTCATCCTTTGTGCGCGCGATTCGATCCACCATTTGTATTTCTGCTGTCGCTTCTGGATCCCTCTGTAAGGTCGAGCGTGTCCTAATTATCCCCATCGGGACCTCTGGCCCTGGGAATACTCGACGCCTTTGGCTCCCGACCCTTCCTGTCGAGTCCTTGTGTTGCCCCGTCTCACCCACCCGTCATGGGTCGCAAACCGAACCAGCTGATCCTCGAGTTCTTCATTCGAGGCCAGAAACTCGAGGATGCCAGTAACCGTTATCAGCACACATGCAAGGCCTGTGGAGAGAAATTTCCCAAAGGTCGCATCGACAGTTTAACCAACCATCTCGTCAAGAAGTGTCAAGCCATCCCGCTGCGAGACCGTCAACGCGTCCTGTTGCGCCTCCACGAACTTCCCGATCTCGCCGACGGTGACCAGAACAAAGACCCGAATGTCGCGGGTCAAAACAAAGGAAAAGGCTCGGATCTACCTTTTGCCACGCGCCAGAATTTCGATGGTCTGAATGTCCTAGCTGAGGCATCAAGACAGGTGGGCGCGTCCGACCAGACTAAACGGGGCGGGCCTGCGTATACTCAATCGGTTACGGTCGGTGGTAAGACGGTCGTTGTCGACCCTGCGCTTGAAGCCGAGGGCTTTCAGGGCCATCCGCAGGCCGAGCACGTCGAGGAAGACGTGAAGCCACCTGGTAAGCTGATTTCGTCCCTTTCCTTCATTCTCTTTGTTTGTCGCTGGCTTTCGTTGGTTTCATTGGTGTCGTACTAACCAACATCCTCTTGTAGGAACTCCCCAAGGCTCTAACGCAACGCTTCCATCTCTCCCCAATGCTTCGCAAGATCAACCTGCGTCCGCGTCTCCTCCGCTGGCGGAAGCTTCGCTGACGCCTGACCCCACCTCCAATGCTCGCCAGTCGCAACTTTCCATGATAGCCGCCTCTGCTAGCGAGATGGTGCCACAGGGAATGCCGTTGGACCATGACATCGTCGATGGCTTGCCGAAGGTGGGCTCATGGAACCAACAGCTCTCCACTCAGGAACAGCTCCTATTTGATAGTCTCCATGAACATGACCCTACTCTTACTGCTGCGACGCAGCGGGCTGCTGCTTTCCCACGTCCTATCGCGATGAACCCTAACTCACAGGCGAAGGGATTCGTAAATGAATTCGGTAACTCGACTAAACCGACAAAGCCCAAGGTACGCGGGCGGTTTTCTGCGGCTAGACGTAGAGAGGTTCAGGAAGTCAGAAAGCGCGGCGCGTGTATCCGTTGCCGCATGCTCAAGAAACCTGTACAGTTACCCCTCATCTTTCTGTTTTGTTGGGCGCGCAACTAATTGTGATTCTTCAGTGCTCCGGTGATAGTCCTTGCACTACCTGCGCCAGTGTAGAAAGCGCGCGGTTGTGGAAGCATCCATGTATTCGGACGCGGATTGCGGAAGAGTTTGACCTGTATAATGCCAGTAAGTATTTTGTTCCTCACTCTGCATTTAGTTTGTGTTGGGTGACTGACCGCCTAGACTTGCACGCCACCCTGGCATATCACGACGTAAGCGGTATCCGAAACCAGGTCAAGTTTGAGCATTATGCCGGCCGTATTGAGATTACCCACTTTGAAGAGAGCATGGTGTATGTCACCTTTAGTGCGCTCCAAGGCCACAAGCCATCTACCTCAACGCTTGATCCCCAACTTCAAGGGCTGGGAGACGACTCGCAATTCCAAGGACCCCTTCACGAAGTTTTCTTGCTTGACAACGATGCAGACGATGTGCCTGGAAAGCTTGAGATGTACATCAAAAAGACTGCACCTTTCTTCTACGAGAGAGAAGCCTCTGAGGTCATGAGGCCCACACTGCTGCTTGCCTCAGAGTTGAGTCAGCAGAAGAAGGTATTTACTTATTGCCCACGCTACTGTTTGAGGAAGCACAAGCTAAATGGTTACAGGATATCCTACTGGAGCGGGTGCTAGAACTGTGGGTTGCGACTCACATCCTCGTCGACTCAGATTTGCGCTGGAGAACGTTCTACAATCCGACTCTTCCTCCCACTTCGATGCACGCTCTCGCGCAGCCATCGGATGATGGACGCATGCCGATCGACGAGGTCACCAACGCTGAGTCTTATGCACTCTTGTGCAGCCAATTACGCTCAGCAACCGAGAAGCGTGCCTCGCAACTGAGCAAGTCGGTGATGAACGACCTCGAACGGCGCCTGCTTCAGCGTCAGCAGAGTGGCTGGTTTGAGACGTTCTTGGTTGCCCTCATCCTCTTGAATTGTGTGGAGAGAACCTGCTGGCTGTTCCGCTCTTGGGAAGACGAGGCGTTTGCACAGCGCGTAAGTCTCTTTTAAGCTCTAGTTCTTAGATTGCATTGTTTTCTAACGCACCACAGTGGCCTCTGGACAAACGTCCTCCCTACTACGCAACCCAGGGCGATCGTTTCTCTGATATTCTGCATATGCTGCTGAAGATGCGCAGCCTGCCGCCCAAGGCAACCCCACGTCCCGACAATGGTATCTTGAAGGCGGTGGACGGTAGCGACATGAACGCAGCTCGCTGGTTTGATATGATTAAAGTTTCCCGTGAGTTTACCACACACCACTGTACCCGGAACCACAGAACCTTAGCTTACAGGCAACACCACAGCTCTGTACCTTGAACAACGACAGGCCGCCGTCTTCGATCCCAACGACTCTCGCTCCCTTGATCTCCGCTACGGAGCAAAACTGTTGCCACCAACAAACGTTTACACATGATTTGCGCTGGTCCACAAACTGTGAACTGATGAAACCAAACGAACCAATGACTTTTGAAAAGATTGATTGAAGCCGGTTTTCCGTGATAGGTATTGTACTGGAACTGGGGTTTGAAAGAGGGTTTTGCAATGGAATTAGCTTGTTGAAAAAGGGCATTTATGGGGTTTTTCTTTTTCTTTCCCCCTTTTATTTATTTCTTTTCTTTTCTTTTCTTTTCTTTTAACCTTCTCTTTGAAACCGAGCACCCAAGTGTAATCTACAGATTCCGTGTCTTCCTCCCGTATCGATGCACGAATCCCCCATGATTTCTAGTCCTAGCCATGAATGGAAAATAATAATCATCCCCGCTGACCAAGCAGGGCGGAATCTCGAATGAGAAATATGGGTTCTTGGGGAATATAATAAGAATAAATATGGTATCGAGCATATATAACAAGTAGCTAGTAAACAAGAAATAAAAAGAAGAAGAAAGCCGAAGAAGTATAGTACAGGAACAAATAAATAAACCACAAGAGAGGCAAATACACGCCAAACACACAACTTCAGAAAGGTTAAACTCTAACATTGAATCAAGAAAGGAGAGAACCAAAGCACGCCCGAGCAACAGAGAGAAAAGCCAATCAAGACCGCAGAAATAGTCCTCATCACTTGTCTGGGCCCCCTTCAGGGCATGTTGTACACTCATCCCGAGGATGGGGTGAACCGTCTTTAGGTGATTGCCCAGGGGTGTGGAGCAGGATGTCCCGTAGGGTCACGGTTATTTCGTTATTCTCGGGTTTGACTGGGGCTTGATTATTCTGAGGCGCAGAAAGTGACGCCGGGTTAATAAAACTGTTGAACCCAGGTACGTCCGTACCTGAGTCGTCTGGCGAAAGAGGCCTGACATTCCCCGTTTCGGACGGGGATGCAGATGGTCCAATTGAGGGCATTGGGGTCTTGGTGGTTTGGTTATTGGTGTTTACTTTGCAAGGGAGAGCCAGCATGGAAGCCGGTTGATCGAAGAAACTTGAGTCGAATGCTTGCCCATCGAATATATTCGTGCTCAGGAGCAAGATATGCACGTTATATCGCTCGCAGGCTTCCGTTAGGTCTTTGAGGTACTCGTTCGATGGATCCTCTGAATATGTAAGAACTGGGCCCTGGGGGTTGTGGACGCAGAGAGGTTGGATTGGATTGGCACAGATGTGAGGGCCGTCTGTTGCTACGACTATGGCGTGGTAGCCCTTGTGTTTTGTGTCGTTGTAGTTTTTGACGTATGCGCTGTGGTTCCTTTGGTTAGTCTACTGGCATATAGTGTTATAGGGGAGATAACTGACTAGCTTTTAGTGGCAAACGAGATTATACTAGCAATTGTTTGCATGAGCACGGAGTCTTCGAAGAAAACGACTTCATCAGAAAGAGGGGAGGACGAGGACGGTCTACCCTCTCCGGTGAGAACCATCTTAAGGATATGGGATGCCTCGGATAATTGAAGAGGAAATCCTATGGGTTCATACCCACCACTGGTCTTGGCGAAGTCGATGAGGAAGAATTTCCCTGCATATCGACACTATCAATGGTTAGTTCATCTTCGTTGGTGAAGAGGAAGTATATCGGCTCACAGTCATTCCTGCCATGGCTTATTGAATGATTTTGAATCAGGCCTCTTCCAGAGCACAAGAATCATGGCATGAAACACGTGATGAAATGGTTGATATGAGAAATAGACAGAGGAATGGCTGTGTTTTATATTAGATGGTGAAAGCAACACGGGTGAATAACACCCTGTAGGAATTTCCATGACATTGAAAAGCCTAGGCCTCTGTGATTCACCACTGTGGATACAGCCAATAGAAACAGTAAAAAATAAGACCAGTGAATAGAAGCAGCAAGCGGGATATCGGAGAATATCTTAAACTACCAGTCTTGAGAACTGGTTGACTCATCCATCCAATAGCAAAAGGAGGGAAGGGGGCAAGAAAGAAATGGCACCAAATCCAATTCCCTCCTAACATTCACCAAATAGACTATACAAAGAAGGGGAATAACCCAGTAAGAACAAAGCCAACACACCATCATCAGTCATAATACAACATAAAGCGCATAATACAAATAATAGTGCAGTCTTTTTCATAGAGCCACTATCGAGTCCGGGGACTGTGAATTCCCTTGCACCTGCTCTAACACTACTGCGTAGTATTTCCCCTCTTCGGAGGTATCATGGTAAGGCCCGGCGCCCATAATCGACCTGTCTCCATTAGTATTGCTATGTTTTTATGCCGTTCGGGTATAGGGCAGAAGACAACGTAGAATACACACCATCCTTTATACTTCGGTTGGTTAAAGATATCTGTGAAAGCCTTTAGAATACGCAACGGTAATTCTAGAATCGAAGGGAGTTCCGGTCCAGGCCCACAGATGGGAAGACCCAGCTTGTTGACAGGGAGGTAAACGACCTCGGCGGTGTTTTGGGGATTGCGGGCTTCTTGAAAGATGAGAAGACGGCGGGATGGTGGTGGGGCCATTTTTTTTTTTCTTTTCTTTCTTTCTTTTCTTGTTCTTTCCCCTCTATTTCTGCGGTTGAGTCTTGCGATTGATTGATGTCTTTTGTAGGACCAGTGTCAATGGTTGTTTCCCTGTTGCGCGTACGGGGGGTGTATAAGTTATGCGCGCTCCAATAGAAGCACAGGATCGCGTGGCGCAAATGATCGTTTGTCGTTAATCAAACAAACTCGGTAATCGTTGATATTATCGATAAATATGCTGCAGCCGCGATCCCGCTTATCGCTTTCGGTTGATCTGTGCGCAATTGAGTGCGGGATGGAACCCCTGAAGGCGGGGCAACAAATAGGAGAATGAACCAGTTTTTGAATCAATCTCAAGAAGATCCAAGCAATACACGAAATGGATATATGATGGAACGATGAAACGGATCGAAGGGGTCAATCAATTCTATAAGAGTAAATCGCGTCCGGCCGCGTCGGCACGTGTTCGGGTGGGGGAAGCGCTTACTTTCATTCGACCATTCTATGACTAGTAGTTGAGGTTTAATGAAGCAGGAAACAACTCGAAACCACGAAAATGGCTTCTCGGCAAGCTTCTCACAAGTTGAACATGGCATATATATACACACATTGCAAGTACAGCATCGAACAAAGAGATAACGTTCGAGAATATCAACAGCTGGGTATCAAGTATCAAAAGAAATCATGTAGATCAACTGTCGCGTGCGAAAACAACGCTAGAAAACACCGTCAACTCTGGGCCTCCAGGACCAGCTATCTTCGATGCAACGCATAGAATGTCCAACACATGCAAATAAAGCAGTTCCCTCCGGAAATGTCCTACGTATCGAGCTCTCCATCAAGTACACGTCGAGCAGCATCCAATCGCCGTCTCAGTTGACGTACGCGCTTGGGGTCTGGATCGGAGGAGGTCGTAATTGTCTGAAGATCCATGCAAACATCGCCCAAGCTCTTGAACAACTGTTCTAAGAGGCGCGTGTCATCCTCGTTGATTCCCATGTTGCCATTGGCCACGGACTTGGGATGGGGACTGGACGCCGCTCGCACAGTGGATACGAGGGAGGACACCAGAGATGTCGGAGTTGCAGACCCAGTCATAGATTGCCGGGGAGTCGAGAGATATTCATCCTCATTGCTCCTGCTGTTCAGCTGTCTTCGGACCGCGCGAGGCGTTCCCATCTCTGACTCGGAGCCAGTTGAGTGCCGCTTCTCAGCAGCAGGTTCAGAAGTATAGCGCTGATTGCTACGTAATTCTAATACCCTGTTAGTCTCCGGTGTATTTGACTTCTCAGCGGGTAGTAGACTCACCATCATTAAATTTCCTATCCCAATAGAGGACACTTTCAAGGTCGTCGTGGTCTCCTTCAGTCGCAGTCTCGTACGATGCTACGGTCGACAGGGATGCTCCGCTGTTTGTGCGAGAGTGACGGACGTGAGGGCGATCATGGATAGGCCGCGTTGTTTCGATAGACGAAGTTGAGACATTACTTGTTCTCCTTAACCTGGCTGAATAATTGCCCAGGGCACTGTGAAGGATGAAATTCTCGTAGTCAAATGCATCTTCACGTTCTTCATGGGGTCGAGAGTCAGAATTTGGGACTGCGGGAAATGCGTCCAGGTCCTCAAAGTCCTCCAGAGGCTCGCGCAATATCTCACTCAAGGCCTCACGATCGATGTCAGATGAGTCGTCGGAGTTGTATTCGCCTTCCTCTGCATCTTCGTACAAGCTCTCAATGACCGATTGCCCATCTTCGTCCACGGGTTCGACGACCTTTGGTTGCGGGGGTTTTACCTTAGCATCAGATGTCTCGCTTCCGTAATGGCCAGTGACAGCCTCGTTGCCATCTCGTGTGTGTCCATGCTCTCCACTGCGTCGGGGCTCTTGAGTGTAATCTGGACTCCGTCCCGCGCCGGGTCGCAGATGACTGTCTCGTAGCTCCAGTGTATTGGTAAAGTACTGATCTGCCGCCGTCAAAGGACTGGGAGTCCGCAGACTCTGTAAGCTACGTCGACGTAGGTTGTCTTCCTGTGCTTTCACTTTCAGACTGGAGATCTTGATGTGCAGACCCTTCATCTGATCTTGGAGATCTCTCACTTGTAGCTGAGACTGTGACCGAGATGGAGGATCAGAAACAGGGTGGACCGAATGGATATCCTCTGCGCCTAACGTTTGATTCCCTGTATCTTCCTCTGAGATGCCCAGCCCACTAGGTGAACCCGAGTAGTCTTCCTGCAAGTTCGAGGGAGAAGTACGAGCAGAGTGTGGCGTTGACACAGACGCACGGTGCGTAAGATACGCCCTGTTTGGATCATAGCGGAATGTTCGCTCAGCATTGTTGAAGTTGGACACACTGCTCGATCCTAGAGCACTGAGAGACCTGGACAGGTCTGGTTCGACAGTTGGGAGACTTGATTGGTCTGCTGATGGCAAACGTGTTTCGCTATACACCCGGGAATGACGATTGCTACCAGTGTCCTGGGATGAGGTATATGTTGCACGAGGACGAGCCGATGCTCTGCGATCCGCACGGGAGATCGATTGATACAAGCCGCCAACTGGTTGGCCCAACCCTATTGGGGACGGCGTTGGCGACACCGAAAGTGATGGCGATGTCCGCATCGAAGTCCGAGCCCGAGTCAAGTTGCCTTCCATGAGCTACAATAATACACATCAGTTCAAATTCCATGAAGCAGCAACCCACTCCGTGCCTCTGCTTAACATACCGTGAGCCGTTTCTTTGCATTCTCCAGAATCCTTTCAGCTTCACTGCTCAGAATCACCGATGATAGCTCATCACCGGGGCCTCCTGCCTCCGTATTCGCTACTACTCTGCCAATGGCATTCTCCTTCATGATGCGAACAGCTTCGTTTAACTGCGCCTGGTCTAGAGCACGATCCTCTTGCGGAGTTCTCTGTCCGCTCTGGCGATTTTTGGTCCCCTCCAATGAAGACTCACTCGCGCCACTGATTGTAGAACTAGACGAGCTACTGCGCCCTCCTGTTTCCTTGGCCTCCGTGTCCTCTACCGTGCGCTGCGAGGCTGGTGAGCCTGCCTGTCGGCGGTTATGCGTGACTTCCAGGTTCGGCCCAAATCCGCTTACTGACGAAGTTGACGACATATCCTCCTCCCCGATATCAGACAGGCGACGACTCGCTTCAAGAGCATCGTGTTGCCAAGTGTGACGCGGAAAAGGCTTGTTCTGGGAACGGTGAGAAGCCATGGAAGCACCATTTCCATTGTAATCTTGTGGAAAAGGTCGGTTGTTGTAGAACGATTGGAGATGGGACAGGGAAGGGAGGTTGAATGGCGGAGAAGGCGTGGAAGATTCGCGCTCGTCTTCAAACGGCAGGATCATATCCGGGTTGGATAAAGTCGGCGACGGTGGAATCGCCGGCGGAGGCGGCCTGTGATGCCGCGCATCCTCCATAGAGGACCCGTGTAACATGCTTCCAAGTTAAATCTGGAGGTTCGTGCTCAACGGCGTTCAAAGGTAACCCGGAAGCGTGTGGTGATATAGTTCGCGGGTCGAGAAAAACCACCAATTAAAGTAATGTCATGGGTGAGAACGTGCTCGAGTCTGAAGAAGGGCTAGAACTGCGCGTTACTGGAATCGAGGGATGAGTTTAATTCATCAGTCGAGGTGAAATTTAACTGCCGTCGCAATGCAAACCCCAAGGCCAATGCGAATCCCAGTCAAGCGGGACAGGGCAGACGGAATTGAAAAAAAGAAAAAGATAAAAAGATAAAAGCAACGAGACGCGACGAGGATTATTAGGATTAAGAATTAAAATTAACAACTAAGAAATAGATAACAGAGGTAATTAGTACAACAACAGGAAGCGATGGAAGGCAACACAGAGAAAAGAAAGAAAGAAGACAGCTGACACGCAGCCACCAGGCCCGGGTGAAATTGGGGGAGGAAAAAAAGGTAATAGTTAGTATTATTGTTTCGTTTTGAACTAGTGGTGTTATTTATTCTTTCTCTTTGGCTCTTGTTGTTTTGACCCTGACCGACTGGAGTAAATGAAAAAAGAGCCATAATTTTTCGTCGTTTCTGGCTGCCAGGCCCAAAGAGGTAAGGATCGGACCCGTGGGGAGTGTCCACCGCGTTCATAAATGGAAGCTCTCTTACCGAAATTGTTCTAACTATCGACCCTATCTTGGATGTTGGGGAAGGGGTGGGAGTCCCTCAGGAGGGTGAACCGAGATGACTTGCAATCAGAGAGGAGAGTTGCATACATAACACTGCCCTGCATTGTCCACACAAGGGTACAGGCACGAAGAATTCATATCTAATGCTAGTAACAAGGAATAATATTAAAACAAGCCACTGGACGAACCTTAAATCACCTGCAGGCGGAGATCATCATTTCAAGAGATGCTCATGCTCACTTCGATGGCACCATGTAGCAAGACGAATCCTGCGCTTTCTTTCGTTTCTTTCATGCATGACACTTGCACTATTCCAGCGTCTCTTTATTTATTTTTACGTTTCTTATTTTTTATTTTCTCTCTTGACCATGTTGATTACTACTAGTACCTTATGGTTATTTTTCCGTGACCGTTCTGTACCTTGAGTGGTTTGTACCCCTGAATGCCTCGGGGCTGATCCACGGATGCCTTAGGGTTGTCGTAACTCGTTCCAATGGTTCCGCGATGCTTTAGCCGGGCCGCAGTGTAGATATACATCTTCGAGAAGTTTCCCCCTAGCACACTGTAAGAGAGAAATTACAATTCGCCTGGTTCTAGCGCCCTCAGCTATACGCTACTTATTACCGCCTTATTATATTTTATCCAAACAAGCCTTCAAAGTAACTAGTAGTGCTTCGTAGATATCAGTCGATTACGTTGAGGTCATTCGTACTGAACGGGAAGGAAACAAATGGATTGCTTTTTGATGACTTCATGGCCCTATACTCCCAGACCCTATACAGATAATAAATGCCAGTGCAAAGATATATCACAAAGTGAGAACGGGAAAGATTGAATTCCCAGAACCAATCAATATCCCAACCAATATTATACGGGATTCACTCGTCACCCGTCAAAAGATAGGCCAACACAGTTCATCGAGTCTAGATCTTTTCCAGGAGCAACTTAGCACCGCTGCTGGTTGGGCCTGATTTCTTCTTGCTATCCTTTCCAGACTCGGCAGCGGCCTGTTGCAGAGCCTTCTTGCCCTTCTTCAAAGTCTTCAACAATTCAGCTTTCTTCTCAAACTCATCGGATTCCGTCAGGGCCACAACCACAAACACATTGGATCCGGTGGCCCATGACATGATCTCTTCCTGGATTTGTTCATACAGCAGTCCGTGGAAGTTCAATGGAGGCTGCACCTTCTCTACAACCTTCTCGGCACTGTTGAACCGACCTCCCTGAACGAGGGACTTCAGGAGTCGTCCAATAAAAGGCAAATCCTTGGTGTCAGAACGAGTTTTGGCAGCAACAGCAACGGCGGAGAGAGCGTCACTCTTGTCTCCATCGGCGTCAAAAAGAACCTCGGCAATGAACTGACATCCGAAGCTCGTCTCCAAGAGAGAGTCTGCGCGGGCGGCGATGAACTCAAGCAAGGTTGGTGACGCAGCCTTGATCAGTTCTTGGCGTCGGACAGATGGGTCCTTCTTCGAAGTCTCCTGGCGAACTTCACGAACTTCCTTCAAGACTGGCTGATCGACTTCGGGCAAAAGCCACTTGGCCCGGTCTCCCACAAATGGAAACAGGACAGCGATACGGCCTGTCAAATCGTTGACCTGATAGATTAGCTCTTCATTCCGTGCCTCCGCGTCGCCGCCTTGGTTCAGTAGCTCCGGGAAGATCATCTTCGCTGTAAGCTTGGTGTCGTCGATAACTTCATATGCTGCCAAGAGAACCATATGACCGTGGAGGTCACCAGCCATTAGCTTGACGGTGTCCTTGTAGAACCGCATAAGCAGCTTGCGGTCTTTGGCGCTGGCATATGCCAAGCTCAGGCACATCAAGCGCGAGCCAGACTGGGTAAACGCCAAGTTCTTGACCAGATCACCTTCTTCGTCACCCTTGAGCAGCTCGATAAACTCATTGGCCTCCGAGCTGCCAGGCTTTGTGTTCAGGAAATATTGCAACATGGCATCATGGAGCATTGTGAATCCAGTGGTACGCTTCTGGATCAGCTGGTTGACAAGTTCATGAAGGAAATGCATGATAGGTCCCCTCTTCTCCGGGCTCTCTTTAAGAATCTCGGAAAGCTCTGATGTCTTATCTTTCTCCTCCTTGAAGATACCGAATTCAGCACCATACCACTCGCGAAGAAGTTTTGCTTTCTGCTCCTTCGTCGCAACCTGCCGGTAAACATCGTCCAGAATCCAAGATGCTTCCGGGTGTCGGATGAGGCGCTTGACGTGACCGTAGAACTCTGGGATGATCAAGTCCCGAATCTCAGCATCGCCGTGGACGATCAGTTTACCAATCAAGAACTTAGCATAACGGCTTTGCGCAAGCTCATTGTAGTGACCCTTCAACTCTCGCGCAATCTGCTTCCGTTGCTCGATATTTGCGTACTTCAAGGCAGTCTGAATAACACGGACCGAATCGTGCTTGAAGACGAAGTCTCTCACTCGTCCAGTGATGATATCAAAAAGCTCGGCAATGAGTTTCTTTCTCTCTTCAAGTGGGACATGTGACTTTCGGCGCAGACGCTCCCACAGCTGCTTGGAGCGTTGAATCATATCGGCATTAGGCTTTGCGGCTTTGCGCTCCTGCAAGAGAGCCTTTTGCTTTGCATGTGATTCCCGTGAGGATGTCTTGTCTGCAAGAGGTGAACAGTCAGCTTGATATCCAATATCTCGGGTGAAAAGCCTCATTATCATACTTTCCGCAGCCTTCTTCGGCTCTTCCTCCTTCTCTTCGTCTTCATCATCGTCGTCGCCCCCGTCATTCATATCAACATCCTCGTCCTCGACATTATCCAGGTCATCAATTTCCGAGTCCTCAACATCGTCCAGATCGAAATCATCGTCATCTTCCTCCTCCTCTTCGACCTTCTTCTTTGAAGCTTTCTTATCCTTCTTCTCGGGCTTTGAGCTCTTCTTTGTCACGCTCTTTGAGCTAGATTTCTTCTCAGGCGCAGCCTTAGCTTTCTTCGTCGGCACGGTTGGTGTCTTGGTCTTTGTCCGCTTTCCCTTGCGCTCGTCGCCGGCGTCCACAGGACGCTTTACTCCGACCATGATTATGTTGGTTTCTTGTTTCCCCTTTTTTTCAGTTCCAAGAAAGCCGGAATTGGATATTTTGAGGACTTCCTGGCGAGCGAATTCAGTACGTCACCCACTGGAAATTTCCTTTTCGTTTGAATTACCGCTTCGGACATTTCCTTTTTCTTTTTTTTGCGCTCCGAAGACCTGAGGCGGTCGGCAAGTTTGTCTTGTTTGCATTTTACTGATAAGGCCTCTGCGTCCCGATAAGCCACTGTATGTATGTGCCTCTTACGGGGTATGGGTGGCGAAAGACAGGCATTGGAAAAAAAGAATTTTCTGGAGCTTGAACTCTATTGTCTCAGTATAACAAAGAAAATTATACAATCAATTAGGCCGTAGGTATGCATAGCAATGGTGCTTAGGCCATAACCACACAAGAATCCAAATCGAAGCGCATATATTAGTCGTTGATCGGGAAGAAACCCTGATCAATGGATCCCCCGAACGCCTACCCCATTCATTACTCAATATATATCATGGTTGCGAGAACCTCACGCATCGCGTAATTCCGACTCTACAGTTGGTGGTGACTTCATAGATCCCAGCTCTGATCCTACGTTGCTCTGTCCTCGTTTTCTGCCCGGGATGTGAAAGCCCAGTTTAGAGTTGCTTGATGTCTGGCTATCATTTGTGAAGTCGCCAAGTCGCGAGAATAAGCCTTTCTTTTTCGGTTTGGATTCGTTGTCGTCGTCGAGTCCAACATCCTCGAATTGTTCTTCTTCCATCGATGTGGGTTGCTTTTCCAGGCCCTTTGCGTAGGGGGTTGATAGACGGGAGAAACGTGAGTCAAGCGACGTGCGAGAGGGCATTGCGTCGCTATAATTTATAGGTGATCGGGCAGATATATCCTGGGATTAAGTATGCGTCAGATCCTCGAACATCCGCCGGGGTGGGCAAAAGACTCACGAACGACCGGCGATACGAATCGAAGGACTCGCGGGATATTGAGAACGGCTCATTCTCGTCGACGAGGTCGCGATGGTTCGAGGATCTATTGGAGCCCGGGTACCTGCGCCAGAAGCTCTGCCTTTCCGGCGGAGATGGCTATTGGTAGATGTTTAGCCGCAGCGCAACAATGCAATCACCAGCACGTGGTTGTGGAGGGGATCGTAGATTTACCGGAAGATACGCTCCATTATCGTCGACCACTGTTTTTCGCGAACCAGTATTAGCGACGTCTATATCCACAGCGAGGAGAAGAGAAAACATGCCACTCAATTTATATTCAGGCGGTTCATTGTCGGTGCTTTTCCTGATATTCAAGGGCGTTGAATGATGGCTGTCTGCGGACAAGCGACTAACGTTATCGGCTTCCCCGCTATTCGGTAGCGCGGGCCTTTTGGTGAGGAAGTTGCGGAACGGGGTCATCTTTGGAAGAGGGAAGTCTTGCGGGAAATTTTAAAATTGCGTAAGAGGTAATCGCTCTGCCCTGCCGAGGCGACAATGGGTACAGAGGGTGAGGTAGAGAGGGTTTAAATGGATCGTACGAGTGGTCCAAGTCAAGAGACGCAATCTCACATGATCGGCGCCTCGGCGGCCGTACAAATAATGAAATGGTGATTTATCCGTTTGATGGAAGGGAATGGCTATCCCTGCAGGATAATTTATCTAATGTAAATTAAGGACCCACTAGCCAAGTGTGGGGGGCAATTGGATTGGTTGGTTTCGCTGTGAACTTCATAAAATGCTCGGCGAATGGAGTATAGAGTAGTACAACCTTGAGCTTACTACAAGCAAGCACTCTAGATCTACTGTATTTCTCGACAACAAACGTATCAGCTGTACTAGAGGAGACGTCACTGTTTAAAAACATGTGGTAATACAGTTAGTTGCGGCTCTTTGGAAATCTTCCACTCGTTCCCTGGGTATGGTCCAGTCATTCAGAAACATAACTTATTAGGGCTTCAAGTTTTACTATACTACTGGTAACTTGGAAAACCTTCCAAGTTACTACCTAGCATTCGCCAGCTCTGATTATGAATTTATTACCGCTACACAGTATCACTCCTGCCTCCCATTGGTCCCTTTCAAGGATTTTGGCAATACCTACGACGATGTGTTGACTCATTCGTTGGTGTAGAGTGTCAGGGCTCTACGTACTTATTACCCAAAGGCTTCCTCTACACCTTGAGCTGTATAGATGACACAATATTGTCATCTATACAGATTTTTCACGCAGCTGCCTACGCCATCAACTACGGTAGCGAGAGCTAGGCTGTCATTGTAGTGAGAGTATTTATACCGTCCCTCGCCCACCTTTCTTCACTCTTCATTCTTCTTCTTCACCACCACCTGCAACTTTCTAGCATACCTCCAACCAATATCAGCTACCTACAGACACTTCTCTCTTCTCATCAAGTTACATTACCTTGTTATAAAAACAACCTGTTCAAAACAAAATACTTTTCAACTATCAAAATGGTCCGTCTTCTTGCCTTCATTGTTCTGGCTGCTGCCACCGTCGAGGTAGTCTCTGCTGCTGCTCTGCCCACTCCACCGAGGCCCGCTGAAGTTACCATTTGGCGTCGTAATGATGGCCCTCTCAGCACCATAGCAGCAACTGCAGTTGAGACAGCCTTTCCAGCTGAGAAGACAACCACTGAGATCGAGGATGGGGAAGATGTCCCCAATGACGACACAGTTACCGGTGAGGATGATGATGTCTTCACCGACGGTTTGCACTGGCGCCGCAGGGGCAAATGCCGCTCTGATCTGGACTGCGATCTTGGCTACCTGTGCACTAGTGGCCGTTGCACTCTTGGCTGCCTGGCTGATAAAGACTGTCGCCGGGGACAGACATGCGTGGGTGGGCAATGCCGTACTGCAGGCGGAGTCAACCCTCCTGCATGCAAGCCTTACAAGCAGCTATGTGCTGCCAATGAAGAATGTTGCTCAGGTGTCTGCCGCCTGGGATGGCGCCTGACAAGGGTGTGCAAGCATAACAAGCACTGAGGTGTCTTGTATGAATGGAGGAATGAGATTATTCCACCGTGAGGAGGGAAAAGGAGACCAAATTGACATGTTGATGGCGTTTCTTTGATTGTTTAACTCATTTTGATGTTTGGTATTGGTTTACTAAAGTTGTTGATTTGAAGGAGAGTTTGGAGGAGGATGTGTGTCTCAGACATGATGGAAGAAGTGGATGATATGGAAAAGGTTGTTCATGTTTGTTTTTCTGAGATTTAAAGCAAGGAAAACACACACAAAAGACAAAAAAAGCAAAAAAGGGCTTTTAACCACTAAACCTTGTGCCCACTGTAATCTCAACACATTAGGATATTTTACACGTAGTATAGGAAAGACTGTAGCTTGGATTATATTTTGAAGCAATCTATTCTCTATTTAATCTGTTATGGATAACTTAGTGGGAGGTCAGCCGCTAAGACGATAACCTTGCTTCGGTTCTCCACACCAGCGGGACCGGTGCCTGGTACGAATCCTGGGGTCGTCGTTGTACTCGTGCGAGTAATCCACGATCGCTGCAACGCGCTAAGCAATGGAGATGATTCTTGAGGGAAGCAATTCTGCAGAGACATCTCCACCCTGGGGTGGCGTCGCCAGAACACACCGACCTGTTACAGGGAAATTGGCTACTTGGCTGGACAACTACATCTCTCTTTTTTTTGTTCTTTTTTCCCCATCATTCCTCCCTCCTGCTGTCTTCTTTTTATCTTAGCAATACATCAATATCTTTTTTCCCTCATGCCCATTTCCCCCAAGTCCTTTTATTTCCTCACCACCTTTGCCTGTTTCTTACTTTCCGTGTTCTTCCCTTGTTGACTTGGGATCCCCTCGGTGCTCCTAACAATAACAATACCGTTTATATCGAACCTCATATCTTGAAACCAATTCTTCTTTCTATAGGCCTTAATAAATCTCACCCATCGTATCACCATAAGCCACTTTATTACCCTAGCTTCACACGTAGTTCGCTAATATGAACCCCCATGGCATAAAATAAATATTTCAACACAAGAGCAAGTGTTGCTCAGACGTCCTTTCCATGGTTCAATGTCTTCCTCGCCTCGCCTTTGCACTTTCCACCAGTGTACCTGCAATTATAGTGTCATTATGACAGCAGGCTTCCTGCCTGGACTCACCTTTATTGAGCACTGGATCTGCACTATAGCCTTACGAGTATCCCTCCCCCAACCACAGCTTTCCTATCCACCACTAGATGAGGCTGACCGGACAAGAGCCGTCATCTACATATTAGCCAGTCAGTGTATCATGCAGTCTCCAGTACTTACTTCTAATCGCTGTCTCAGGACTAATCCCAGACCTTGCCCGTTAGCCAAATTCCGGATTCACTATGCGGTTTTGGGTGGATTGGGCACTGTGGCAGAAGCTTAGTCTTGTACGGATACAATGACTGCATATACTGAAACTGAAGCATTGCTAATGACAGGCTTATATAGGTGCTCGCCAGCCTCCTCGTAATGTGATGAACCCCACAGTCCTAGGGTCACTACTAATATGGCAAGCAAGGTTCTCGTGCTTATTTATTCGCTCTGCGTCCTTTTCTACAACAGATGGGCCACCAGGAAACACGCTGCTGCAGACGCTCAAAAAACGATACAGGATGCAGAGCAACGCCCGATGTTGTCAGAAACAAATGAAGTGCCGTTCGGTGCTAGAGCTTTAGAGCGAGGCGTTCTTGTGGAAGGCATATGGACACCAGGCCAGGTGTCTCCTATAGAACCCAATACGCCGACCAGGCACGAAAGCGCTGGACTGGCCCTAACGCAGCTGCCTCCTAACCCAGCAAGTATGGTACAGAGGCCTTCTCAGACATACATGCCGGTGTCTTTATCAGGCCAGTCGGGTCCAAGGTGGGCTCCAGCAGTTTCCGACATCAGGGCCGAGTCGTCGGATAGTCTTTACCCCAACGCTCTGCATGCAGACAAATCTCGCCAGTCAGAGGTACAACTTGTTGGTAGCCATCATGATGTTGTCGACTCAGATGTTGCCCGATCAAAGGTACGACTTAGTTCTTGTGGCTCATGGATCAACAAGCCTTTTGACAAGCGATTGCCAGCCGTTGAAGGTAAGTCCATGACTTTATTCTAGTTCGCGAGAGCAGGAATGTATAGGAGGGCTGGGGTAACGAGTTGAGGAAACTGACGAGCTCCTGTAGGAGCTCATCCGCGGACTTCTTCCGAAGAGTTTAGGCGCAGGATTAGCAAATTGTTCGACGAAAACGTCCAGGCACGCCCAATCGAAATGTTTCAGTTGCAATCCGATTCCTCAGAGTCCGTTAATGGTCACCAAAAGGAACTCATCCCAGACCCATCGATGCATAGACCAAACCATGCGATCCACTGATTGAATAATTCCATCGTTTACTTTCCCCAAAAAAGGGATTATATGTTATTATCAATTGGTCATGTATCCTACCCCAGAGCACAAATGGTCAGGCTTGACGGCCTTCATTGCTTCTTGTTAGATCCAGTCATCTGTCACGCTGGCCTTGCCTCAACTGCGCTCTGGGAACCTCTACGACTCATAATGATCATTCAACCGTGAGGATGAAATGTAGAGGGTTTCCTAGGCGATACAACTGTACTGTTAAAATGGAACAATGCTCGGTGTATCGGTCGATAACCGTCAAGAGACTTTCTGGACTAGATGAAGAAGACTCAATAAAAAAGCTCATGACCTACACATGAACACCCCCCCAAACATATTTCCTTTCATTATTGTTCTAATATAGCGTTGCGTAATTGTAGGCTTTTCTCTAAGGCAGCAGCCTGATATGCCTGGCCCACGTGACCTCGTGACGGCTTCGACGCGTCCAAATCCTCAACAGATTGTTTATCGCCGCATAGTCAGACGCCATTTTGCCACATCGATCGACTGCAAGTTTTAAATAAGACATCTGTTGTTTCCAAACTGGTGGCTACCGAACAGTCCTTGAGGTTTTTGTCCGATAAGAGGCACCCCTAACGCAGAATTTACCCACATTCACAATAGAACGCGTACTGTCGCGTCGATTAGACTGTGTGCAAGACCAGTAGTAGTTGCTTGCTATTACTCTTGGGGCTGGCTAAAGAGGCACTTGACCTGCCTACCTGATTGACAATGACAGCAGATATGGATACTCAGAATGAGTACGATGATAGTGGACTCCCGGGGCCCGGAGCGCCCACGCCACTCTCAGCTTTAGAAGTGAGGAATCTCTACTTTCCACGTTATGCAACATTACAAGCTTGATATAGTAGTAAAAAGTCCTCTCAGAGTCTCGTACTGACTATAATTTGATAGGGTGTTGCAGGATTAACGGGAAGAGATATCAAATTGTTTGTCGATGCCGGCTATCACACTGTCGAATCAATTGCGTATACGTACGTCTTTCCTCTTAAATGCTCAAACGAGCTTGCCGCTGCACCAAATATGGAGAGTTTAAGATAATGCTGACATTGGCGTTGGTGGTATATTATAGGCCAAAGCGTTTACTGGAACAGATCAAAGGTATCTCGGAGCAGAAGGCTACCAAGGTTTTGGTTGAAGGTTAGTCACGTCCACTCATGGAGTCTAATCATTTATAAGGATGTATGCTGATTATCTTTGATAAATAGCTGCTAAGCTTGTGCCGATGGGTTTCACGACTGCAACGGAAATGCATGCTCGTCGAAGCGAGCTCATATCGATTACGACAGGATCTAAGCAATTGGATACTCTTCTAGGCGGCGGTATAGAAACAGGATCTATTACCGAGATATTCGGAGAATTTAGGACAGGTAAAAGTCAGATTTGCCATACGCTTGCGGTAACTTGCCAGCTGCCATTCGACATGGGTGGTGGGGAAGGAAAGTGTCTCTACATTGACACCGAAGGGACATTTCGACCAGTGCGTTTGTTAGCAGTTGCTCAACGGTACGGGCTTGTCGGAGAAGAGGTACTCGATAATGTGGCGTATGCCCGCGCTTATAACTCAGATCACCAGCTCCAGCTTTTGAACCAGGCGTCTCAAATGATGTGCGAAACTCGTTTCTCGCTTCTTGTTGTCGACTCGGCTACATCACTGTATCGGACAGATTTCAACGGCCGTGGTGAGCTGTCAACTCGACAGACACATCTGGCCAAATTCATGCGTACCTTGCAGCGCTTGGCGGACGAATTTGGGATTGCCGTCGTCATCACAAACCAGGTCGTCGCCCAGGTCGACGGTGGTCCGAGTGCGATGTTCAATCCAGATCCCAAGAAGCCAATTGGTGGAAACATCATCGCACACGCCAGCACGACCAGATTGAGCCTAAAAAAGGGGAGGGGGGAGACCCGAGTGTGCAAAATCTATGACAGTCCCTGTCTGCCCGAGAGTGACTGTCTCTTCGCCATCAATGAAGATGGCATTGGGGATCCTAGTCCCAAGGATTTGGAAAACAACTGAGGAATGATGCAGCTGTTGTAGTTACTTATGATACCACGATCGGTATACGTTTTATTTGGCTTGTTCATTAGTACATATTGTTTAGTATCTTGATTTTGATAGCATATGGTGTTTGTGGCATTCTCTTAGATATTATGCGTTACGTGGAATAAAAAGAATTATCAGTACAGCCAAACAAAACATACTTTGTATATACGAAGAGCATATGGGGTCTTTCTTGCAACAATACTAATCATTTTAAACCGATTGTTCTCTCCTTCTCTTCCATCAAATCTGTAGATCTCCGAAGGCGGTGGATGCGCGTTGCTAAGGCCAGCGCCAAGACCGTGTTTTTTCTGAACAGAGCTTCGGAGCTTCCCTCCTCCAACTCCACGGGCTGCGACATTCCACTTTCTTGCGACAATCGGCCATGGAGACTTGAAGTGACCAGTTTTACAGATTAATGGAAGTTGGTCCCTCGTTCATCCGACATGGCGAAAATTTATAAAGATACCAAGGTCGACCTTCGACCGTATTCATCGAACGCCGTCGTCAACATTCAGATCCCAACACATGCGAGTACGCAAAGCCGAGCACGATTCTCTATAGCCTCCTCTGTGGGCGCAGACGAACCGATAGCGAAAGACGAGGAAGAATTCTCTAGACGGTATCTCTCGAGCCAAGGGTCAATCTATTTTCGCAAACGCAGTGTCTATCCACGATCGTTCCTATGGAGGGTTGTCAATGACAGCAAGGTGCTGGAGATCCAGTGTGTTGATTTAACGAAGGGCGGTATCGAGCATTCAGTATACAGCAATACCATACGCTTAGATTTCCAAGAAGAGATCCTTCCTTCATGCGTTGACTTCGCAGACTTGGAAGATCATGAAGTGCTGAGCGTTTTCGTGATTACGGCCTCCAAGCAGCTTTACACCTTGAGCTTGCGTCCCGAATTTTTCCGCAGAACAAGCGCGATTGACAACAATGTATCGGACTGGTGCAAGATCTATATACCGGCGCCGTTGTCGTTCTCCTACCCCCACCGATTGCATGCTAGCAGTCCGCTCGAGCTATTCATCTCCCTCGATAACGGCGCGCTTCTGCGCCTAACCCGGAGGTCTGGTGATGATGGTAACCCTCCATGTTTCGCCCTAAATTTGGTACAGGGGAATTAAAAAATGCTAACACAAATGACTTCCAGGCTCAAATTGGTCTCCTCTTACCTTCGACGAGAGAACTTGGGGTGCCTCTATCCGTGGATTGGTAAGGTGGCACGCGCAACCTACAGTTAAATACAAAGGACGCAATCTCGACACAAACCTGGCAAATGCGATCGCTACGACATCGGATCAGACTTACGCTTTTGCGGTCTGTTTAAATCACACTCTAAAGATTTGGAACCTAGCTACGAACAAGCTAGCTGCCACAACTGACCTGTTAGGCCGTGAAGTGCAAGAGCCAGATTCGTCGTCATATACATTGAACCCAGCTGATTCATCCTTCATTCGGGTATTCAACGTTGAGAGAGCGCTGGACGGGGCATACCGGTATTATGTTATCACATATTCACCTTTTGAGGATGGGCGTTTCAAATTCTGGGCTGTAAAGGGAGGCTTGACATCACCGCTCGTCATCGAAGATCTATTCCCAGATGCTCCTTTGCGGCCCTTGGACCCTGATTCGACTGGGAATGTGTTCTGGAGTATTATAGATTTCCAGCTCAAGCCGGCTGAAGAAGGGAAAGGAATGGAACTGTGGGTTCTCTGGAGAAACAGCGGCGTCTATCAGCTTTACACCTTACATTTCAATTTCGAAACTCTAGTGAGAGATTGGGATACCAATTGGGTGTCGACGGCGATCGACACTCGCGGACAGGAGGCTCCGCCGCCTATGGCATTCACTGATGTGGTGGACCCAACAGAGAAATGGTTGAAGTTCCTTTTACAACCCAACAAATACTCGCCAGAGGTGCTTGAGACTTCCCTAGCGGTTTACCAGGAGGCCCTCCGGCCGCTCTCTTCCCACAGCGTCCTAAAGAAAAGTGCTTCACTTACGGAACGACTTTGCTCTACGATCGCTGCCATGGTATCACTTCGGAAGTATGCCGATGACGAGATGGACTTCACAAGGTATCGCACGGATACAGACGCGAAGTGGCGCCAGTTTTGGCAAATTGCGGAGGATATCAACAAGAGGCGATTCGAGCCTGTTTCTCTTCTCTATGATACCTACTATGAGACTCCATGGCTACTTCTCTCAGATAGCTGCGCAGTGATTAGGGAATGCAGCTCAACTGAGTTGCTTTTGCACAACTCGGGAGCTGAGCTGCGCGCTGAAGGACATAAAATTGCGGATCGCTGGAGGCACAGGAACCTGGATGAGGAGATTGGAAATATGTTCGAACAAGCTTCTCGACTGATGACAGTTGCCTCTGGGTTCAGGAGAAGATTTCCATCTGAACTCAACGCAGCTTGTCAAAATGCTCTTGAAGCAGAGCTATTCACTGATCCATCCTCGTCTGTCCAGGACAGGATGGATGCTTTCCGTGATCGTTGCGACTTTGGCGAACAAATCTCCAACAAGACCTATGACGGTCTGCTTGCGGCCATGGATGGGTATCTGAACATCTACAGTCTGCCGAACAATGTTTTCTACACTGTCATAGACACGATCCCTCTTGGGTTCCCCGGAAAGGATTCAGACCTTTTGGCTACCCACTTCGGGGTGAAAGTTACTGTGAATGGCGTGCAGGAGGCAATACTATATACGCGCCAGCTTCTCATTGACCTCTTGGTCCTCGTAGTTTTCGTGGACGGCGAGGTTCAGCAAGAAGACACATCTGAGTTCGATGCCGTGGATCTGTTCGGTTCGTTGATAACATTGCTAAGAGAATACGAGATGATGGCCTGGCTCAGCTCAAACACCCGGAAATGTTTGGATAGGCCCGCAAATGTTT